TTCCGGCGTCAACGTGTCCCATGAAGATGATGTTGACGTGCTCCTTGCCGTAAATTTCCTTGAGAGTCTCCTGATCGACATCGGCGGCCTGCTCCTTTTCGACGGCATCAACTTCTCGGGCGGCGGCCTTCTTCTCACCAGCGGTGGGACTGTTGCGACCAGAGCCGGGGCTTGGTGAGGTCTTACCAGAGGTCTTAGCGGTGGCAGCCTTACCGGCCTTCTCGCCTGTCTTCTCGATGGCCTTAACGGCTGTGGCCTTCTGACCAGCCTCGGGTTCATCGGTAGGCTCAGCCTTGGGGGGTTCTTCTTGCTTGACGGGAGTAGCAGCGCCGGTACCTGAGATGGAGAGAACCTTCGTCTTGGGCTTGGGACCAGAAGCATCGCCGCTGATGCTGATGACCTTGGGCTTAGAGGCAGTAGCGGCAGCAGGCTGACTGGGTGCAGCAGCGGGAGCATCGGCGGCAGGTCGTTGAGCAATCGTGGGAGCAGCGGGCTGCTGAGGTTGTTGCTGCTGCTGTTGTTGGCCATACTGGGGATAGCCACCACCTGCTGTTTAGTGTTAGTATGTTGTAGTCACGGATCTCGGCGGGTTGTGGATTTTTTTTTGGCGCAAGTGTCATACCATAGCCTTGGTTGTTGTAACCACCGTAACCCTGGTTGTACTGGTTGTAGCCCTGCTGGGCACCGTATTGGGGGTAGTAGCCTTGCTGATAGTATTGCTGTTGCTGCTGCTGCTGGTATTGAGGTGCATATCCTCCATATGCTTGGCCGGGCTGGAATGAAGCAGCACCAGGCTGGAAAGAGGCGATGCCAGGTCGGAAGCCTCCTTGCGCGGGGGCGGGGTTGTTCATGTTGAGCTGCTGCTGAGCCTGCTGAGCGAGGTTCTCATCCTGAGCAGCGGGATCGTCCTCCCAAGAATTAGGTGTCGCCATTTTGATGTGCTTAACGGCGGTGGAATGTGTCGCGTAGTGGGGGGTGGAGGAGGGAGAGTAGGTAAGGTAGAGGAGAGAGGGTTTTGCGATCACTTGTTAAGGTCTGGATGGGGTTGCGGATTTAAAAAGGCCCTAGATATGCAAGCAACCTGTCTGTGGAAAATGGGGCTTGTGTGTTTTCTTTTCGATTATCAAGCGATGAGATTATGCCAAGTTCTTTGAGAATTAGGGGAGGAAGATAAATAAATTCTAACCCTTAGCCCGGCAGAGATATCAAGTTTGGTCTGTAAAAGATGGAGTTTTAGGCACCAAAGTCGCCCAACAACTTATGTTGATTCTGTGAATACCCTTAGGTTCCTTGTGTTTTGCTTGGTGGGGGGAGGCAAAGAACCAGTGCAGGCAGCCTAGGGGAGGAAAGAAAACTCAGGACCTTGACCCTAAATGATAAAATTCTTTAGGTAAATTTAGCCTAAGCTTAGGGCACTTTTTGCTTAGTTTATTTTGACACCTTATATCAAGGTTCGGTGTTTTCTTGCCCCCTGAGGGCAGCCTAGGTTTAGACTGCGAAAATTGTTGCCCCGCTATGGGTATCATGACGCAGGACCACCTGTCCTGGCAGGGTACGACCTTTATTCTTAGGTACGTAGTGACGAAAAGACTTGGGCAACTTAGGCCAAGCTTAGGGGACATCTTTGCCTCGTTATTTTGGCATGCTCTTCTACAGTCTCATGTTTTCTTGCAGGGCCTGGAACCTCTTGCACCGTATGCCCTGAGGGTAAGGTAGTTCAGGGGATAATACTGTGCGTGCTCATCAACTCACACGTACATCTATGGGGACGGAACAGGCAGAAACAAGTGTTTAATGTTAGGAGCAACTCGAGGCATTAGCCAGGACATATTACAATGCGTTTGTGTACTCAGTTTCAGCCTTATGACTGTCCTTTGACTCATCTCATCATCTGAGTGAGTTCAAGCCCAATGACGGACTGGCTAGACTGGGTATCGACACCAGCCACAAGCAAGGGCTGCACGTGCCATACATCCATACCTCACAACGAGTGGCATGGTCTTGAACCTCGCACTGTACAGGTTGCCCCTCTATACTCAGTGTAAGTGCCCGAAACCTACACCGTCTAGACCGTCTACCTTCCCCAAGCTACCTACTAGGTAGTACCTAGTCTATGCGTTGGCGGTCAATTAGGTTACGTGCAGTGAATAATGCTGCCAACGAGCTACGGCCACCAATCCAATGCGACATGGAACTCTCATAAGGGGACGTGCAATCTTTTGTTTGTCTAGGTACCTATTATCTCGACCTAAAACCCTTCTCTTCTATCAAACATTTCTACCGGTGCTTCTAAGCATGATACAGTATTCGATAAAGGCGAGTCACCTACGTCCTGGTCATGGATGAGTTCCTCGCAACAGTTGGCGTTCAAGCCATGAGATATGCCATTCGCTCCGGTATCGCCTTGACATCGTCGTATGCCGTCGGTCAATGTTCGAAACTACTCAAGTCAGTTGAAGACAAGGCTGTCCATGCCGAACTCAAATCGTTAAGAAACTTGCTCGATAGCAAAATAAAGGTGCGTCATAAGGCATAGGGCTACCTGTTCGTTATTCGTTACTCCGGGGTACCCAAGGTAGTGTGCTTGAGACCTAACCTATCACCATCGCAGATCATCTCACCAGCCATAGACTTGATCGAGTTCAAGTAAGCACCCCATTCGCTCATCAACTTAACATTTGACAACTAGTTGGAGCTATTTCTCCTAGTCCGGTTCTAACACTCCCAACTAGGTCAGGTCGTGGAAATGTATTTCTCGAATCAGCAACTCCCCTTGCGAAATCATTGCATAAGGACATTGTCTCGCTGGGCCGTCGCATAGAGTCAGCAACTACTATCTGTTCAAACTCAAGTAGTAACAATGCCCAGACACGTTCACCGTCTGCTAGCCATGACAGCCTGCTGGCTATCATCACCGCCATAAAGGGTCTGCTGGACCGAATCGATCGTGAGATCCCGCTACTACAGTTGGCCATTACTGCTTCTGGGGAGAGTCTTTCCACATCTCTACCCGCCGGCATATCACCGTCCAGACTGCTGCAGGCCAGCACACTGCTCACCGTCGGCGACACACAGTTCGCACAAGATCCAAATAGACCAGTCCAGATTGGTCCAGTCTTTACTCTATCGCTCTACATGCTCTTTCTCGGACATGCATCCACACTGACGCCACACCCCACATCTCAAGCTGCAGACACCTCGGCCTCTACTAATGGTCACTGTTCAGAAACGTCAAACATCAGGACTGGGTACGGGTTGGGGGATGGGGAGCGGAAGCCACTGTGGCAGGAAGTATTACACAAGGCGCGAGTTCGTATCTGCAGAACCCGCAAGGACTTCTACTTTGATAGTAAGCGAGGCTACTGTGCAAATCCGCTGAAAGACCACGATTTTCCCCTTCCAGCTCCTGAATCGAGCGGTGGGGGGGAATACGCATACCACCTGGAGGTTATCGAAGACCTTGACGACGGTCGACTCCACGATGACGAGCATAATATTCAGCCATACGACGACATTTCTCGAGCAGGCATTCGCGAATCCATTCCTGTACATCAGTTGTCCAAGATGTTTTACACAGATACAGGCAGGATTTTGAACATCGGTTCCGCCACTGACAGCGAGCAAAGGCCAGTCTTGCTTTTGAAACGAGACACTCAAGCTCTGCCGGCCCACCAGGAAACCGATGGCGTCGGTGGGTTTCTCCAAGGACTCGAGGATGATGACAAGAGCGAGACATCAATTTCGGCGAGTGATGAGGACGATCAAGCCGAGATCGACAGGCAACTTCTAGAGGGTCTCGGACGCCCAGTACTGGAAGACTGCAATGTCGTGCCGGTAAGCGAGGATTTCTTCAAATGGAAATTCCCGTCACATCTCGATCCAGAGTGGATGGCCCTCGAGGTGTACGAGGAAGATGACGAAGATGATATCGGAGAAGAAGACGATACCGACTCGGTGGGTTCGGCGAGGCTCGAGCTGCCAAAGTATGTGACATCAAAGCCGGGTACGCCTCGTGATAGGAGATCTTTAGACTCGAATGTCGTCGATCAAATCAAGAGACTATCTTTGAACAGCCCTGATAGACTGGGCTCTCTGCAAGCAGTCACAGCAGCCGAGACAGAGAACTTTGTCGCCCGTTCGCCATTTGGGGCGATCACGACATCTCTATCTCTAATGGAGATGCTGGTACGACTGGCTAGTCTCCAGGAGTTTCAGCAGACATCTCATCTGTCTATTCCTGACCACATACTCACTTTCTTCCTGGAGGAGACTTCAACCACAGGGCTAATTGGCGAAACGCAGTGGAGGGCTCGGAGCGAAGCAAAGCGTCGTATGGGATTTGATCCTTATACCGATGTGCCAACGAAGTAGTTAACAATTTCTACAGAAATGTGATAACTGCATGCAATCTGACTCGGAACAGCTGTTATTAGTGCAAGGCTTTGTGATATTCCATCGTGATATCAACCATTCACTTACTGCAAGGATATTGAGATGGCTTACCTTGTTATAAGTTTTGATCATCCATACTCTGAGTAATTAGATCACTTGTATACATATAATACGTACGATGTGTTGACATAAGTCAGTTTCTAGCTATGATGGTCTAAGGGGACAGGGGGACTATTCATTTGTTAGCGCGCAAGGAGTTGATGGAAGGGGTGCTTAGAGGTTGACAACGAAACATGATGATACAACGAGAAACATTGAGCGTTTCTGCATTTGGTTTTACGACCTCCTCATAGTATTATTCACTTATATATATTTCATCCAACCGAGCTACCTGAAGTCTTTTTGATTCCCTGAACCTATGCTGTGAATATTTTTGCTTGCAAATAACTTACCCTATGGTGACGACATCTTTTGAGTGACATAGGTAACACTTACGGTGACCAAGTTTCACGTCTTACCGATCAAAGACACAACTCCTGCATCTACTCCCAACTAACAACAAGTGAACCATTCAATTGGATAGAGAACAGAGCATTTCCTCATAGAAAATGGCTCCTCTCGTTCCTCGGTTCCATCTCTTTGAGATTGACGATCAGACTTGGTACGTACTTGGACACCAAGCTCCACCAGCTCTACCTTGGGTAGAGCTTCGTCAACCCCAATATCCAACCAAGCTCTACTCTGGAGCTTCAACTGCCCGAGCCTGGAACAAGCTGCTTCAGGATACTAGACCGACATGCAATTGCGATACCAGCGTCAAGAGTACTAATAAGGAATCAGGTTTCCCGCCTTTCTTCGTGCTCGCGTCCAAGATGGCCTTACACGCGCCTGGCTCTCCAACACGCCTCTCCAGTCCCAATCTCCCGCGAGTCTCAGCGCCCAAGTCCTGATCAAGCAGCTCAACAAGTCTCTACCCGACTATACTTACATCGATTTCTGTGCTGGCGGTGGTGGACCCACGCCCTCGATAGCTCGCACCGTCAACGCGCACCTTCAGTCTCAGGGATCGGATCCTGTTCGCTTTATCCTTACGGACTTGCACCCAAATGTCGAGGCCTGGGAACAGGTTGCCCAGAAGAACCCGCTGCTGACCTATGAACGCAACTCTGTCGATGCGTCGTCTGCTCCGGAGTATCTTGTCAAGCGGGAAGATGGAACGAAGCCTTTCAGGCTCTTCAACCTGGCGTTTCACCACTTTGACGACGACCTGGCCAAGGATATCTTGCGAGATACTGTCGAGACGAGCGAGGGACTAGCCATATTCGAACTACAAGATCGCTCCTTTGCAAGCGTGTTGGCGGTTACGTTCTTAGGTATTGGCGCATTCTTTAGTGCTCCGTTCTTCGCGCTCAAGTGGCGATCACCTGCAACATTCATCTTCTCGTGCTTGATCCCTATTCTACCGTTCGTTCTCATGTTTGATGGATACATCTCAGCGCTGCGGACAAGAACGCCTGAAGAAGTTGAGGCATTGTTGCGGTCTTGTGGTGCAGACACGAGCAAATGGGAGGTCAAGAGCGGTAGTGAGATGCACCTCTGGCCGTGCGGATATCTCAATTGGGTCATCTGTAGACCTGCACGTAAAGGCTAATGTTACATATTCCATCATCGATAATGTACAACGAAGTTTGCGACACCGCTATAGATGTGGTTACATCATCGGAACCACCAGTTGGCTGAGCAGTTTACTTCTCCATCCCATCCCACGCTCTTGACAGAATGCCAATAGCCTGCAGGGATGAACATAGAGTCACCAGGCTCCAGCACAACCTCAAAAAGCCCTGCTGGTGCTTCATCATCGCCCCAAACAGCATCATGCAGCTTTTCCCGTTCCTCGCCCTGCATCATGTCCTCCGTTCGCAACCGACCATTGTCTGTCTTTGCCATCTTAGCTTGTATTTCGCCGAATAATGCCTGTCCCGCCTTTGGTAGCATGAGCCTGAGAACCTTGTCCCCGGAAAGCTGGCAGAAGAAGTTGGGGTTTGGATCTCTGTGTAGAGGTGTGTATGTCGGCACTAGGCCGAGCCATATGCTGGTGCCATATATGTCTCCCTTTCCAACAAGTTTGAGGATTTTTGGCGTGGGAAGGTCATCTTGGAGGTCCTTGGGGAGATCCTCTATGGGGCACTGAGCAATATAGAGTGATATTCGCGGGAGCCTCATACTCAGCAAGACTTTGTTGAAGTGGTAGATCTTATTGAAAAGACGGAGAGGCGCAGTGAATCGATAGAAGTCCCTGTTCGCTATGTTGTTGACGGTTTCGTCGACGACACCGTCAACCACAGCCTCCTGATTGAAACAGTTGTCCCAGCTCCTCACAATGGCATCATCGTGGACATCTCGGTCAAGAGAATCCCGAAACATGACGAGACTGTCCTTCTGTTTCTGAGACGGCGCGTATATCTCATAAGTGACCACGGGATTGCGAAAGCGCCGGAAGTGGCGTGATAGAGGCTGCCGTGGAGTTTTTGTGTTGGCTGTGTGATATGGCTCTTCCTCGTCCATAAACCAGTTCTCCAACGCAGGTAGATTGGCAGCCGGTGAACCCTGGTCTTTGGCAAAGACGACAGGCTTCTCGAGTTCAAATGATCGCGTGCGAAATGCTTCAGTGGTGGTATATTCCTCGGCTACTGCTACCAGTCTTGGAATTCCCTTTCTTGATATCCCCTTTCTTGGTGATATTGTCTGACTGAAATATCGGCATAAAGGGAACGTTTTTGATATATGCCGACTCCATGGTGAGAAGGTAGATAGAACTTTGCTCATGATTTCTCTATTATCGATGGGAAGAGGTTCTTTTGTGATGAGTTAGTAATGAGATGAGCTTGTCATAGTATCCAATGTAATTTTTGTAGTTCCATTTGAGAATAGATCGACGTTATGCCCTGCATTCATCTAATGCATTGGTTGTGTTGGGTCACACTTTTACCACCGTCTATCTACGAATCTTGAATATGAAAGGCGAGATCTATGCATCGGAGACGGCAAAACCCTGTCCCGAAGCAGGTACCGTTAGATAGAAGTGGAAACCGAATCTTTCTATTTCTGTTGCACCAAAACTCTTTGTCCTGGCGCAATCGACGAAAGAGGAAATTTCTTTTCAGTTATACAATCCAAGCTTCATTGCCACGAGTATCTCTTTATAGTACATTATCAAAAATTGCACATATTTTTCGGTGCATTAACCAACTACTGCTGTTGTTTCTGGTGAAATCACATACCTCACCTACTACTACCTAGGTACGGATCCCGCAATACCTAGCGTGCACATCCCTACCAACACCGATCGACTTTAGCGTAGCGCGTGCATGCCCTCCACTGTAGGTTAGGTCAGGTTTAGGTGCTTTGTGCCCGTGGCTCGCGATATCTGCGCCCCTCAAAATACTCACCAACATCCATCACCCCGCCTCGAGGTAGCTTTGCATACAGCTATCATATCGATACCGCGCCCTCCAGCACAGCCCTTCAGCGCCCTCGCAACACACTATAATTTTTCTCGCCTCTCCATTGCGATTCGCTTTACACCACGCCGCTGCCGAGCGCAATCCCTTGGCCCAGCCTTGTCAACTGGTACCCGTTCCGTTGCCCCTCGACAACAAAAGAGACGACCACGATAGCGACACCATGTCGACCTCTTCGGGCGTCCCCGAGTCCTGGATATCCAGTTTCTGCTCTCTTCTCGGCCATGAATACTTTGCCGAAGTCTCGGAGGAGTTCATCGAGGATGACTTCAACCTGACTGGTCTGCAGTCCCAGGTTGCCATGTACAAGGAAGCATTGGAGGTACGTTTATCTTTGTCTGCAGGCGCGTCGACGTTTGCAGTTTTCTCTCTCTCAAAGGACCCAGAATTGCTAACGTTGTACCCCTGTCTCACAGATGATCCTGGATGTGGAACCAGAGGACGACGAGGAAGAGGAAGAGGAGGAAGAGGAAGAGGACGAGAACGAGTCAGACCCAGAACGCTTGACTAGAGCAGCCAGCGAGCGGAGGCATCACCGCATGGCCAGCGACTTGTCCGTCATCGAATCCTCTGCCGAGATGCTGTACGGCCTCATCCACCAACGCTTTATCTGCTCCAGGGCCGGCATCCAGCAGATGAGTGAAAAGTACGAACTAGGCCATTTTGGCTGCTGCCCCAGGACAAACTGTGACCAAGCTCGCACTCTGCCTGTCGGCCTCTCCGATATCCCCGGCGAGGACACGGTCAAGCTCTTCTGCCCTTCATGTTTAGACGTTTACGTCCCACCCAACAGCCGTTTCCAAACTGTTGACGGCGCCTTCTTTGGTCGTACTTTCGGCTCTCTCTTTCTCCTTACTTTCCCAGAATATGACCTTACTAAGCGCGGTATCGAAGTGCTGTCATCCACCAGCTCTCGTGTTAACGAAGGCGATGGTCTCATCAACGGCATGTACGCAAAGAATATTGGCCCCGGTCTAGGTCGTGAGCGTATATACGAGCCTCGCATTTATGGTTTCCGCGTTTCTGAGAGAGCCCGCTCTGGCCCCAGGATGCAGTGGCTGCGTGAACGCCCCTCAGATATTAACGAGCTCGACGAAGCCCGTCTCTATGCAGAACAGAACCCTGACTCGGAGGATGACGACGAGAACAGCGGTCAAGCTGGTGTGAATGGCAGAGTTATGGTTCGTCGACGCCCTCCTGGAAACGCTCGCCTTCGCCAGAGGCAGAACAACAATGGTAGCCCCATGGCTCTGTCCACTAATGGAGCTGAATCCGAGTTGTAGAGGGACGGGCGCATACGGTCTCATATATGTCCCTTGGCGACTCCAGACCTGGTAGATGTTAGGACTGTCAATGAAAGATTCCAAACTTTTCTTACAGCGGGAAATTTCGGCATCAGACTACCTGGATATTTGGCAAAAAAAAAAAAAATGCCTATTGACTGCATCATGGAAACAAGGCATAGACGCACTGGAGACGCTTTAGGAAGGGCTAAGCATGATGGTGTCACGGGGTGGGAGGAAGGGTACCATTGGGATTTTGCTTTGCAGGATTAATGCATAGACGGCGTTGAACGTTTGATAGGTAGGCTATGGAAAATACACATCAAATGCACATTTATGACATCTCTAAGGAACCAATCAATACATGACTTGAGGAACTTGATGATATGTATTCTTAAGCTTAGCACATTATTCCTTGTTGACATCTCATCAGGGGCTATGTGGTGCTCACTCGCCCGTTCAACCTATCTAAGTTATGATGTGTTTTCCTTCATAGGCATTAGGCATGAGTTCTATGGATAGACATATACATGCTGTTACTCCTGATGCCTTTTCCCCTTGTCCTCTTCCAACCACTACCAAGTCGCCAGACCTGCGGCGTGGTGTGTATTCCCTCCTCATGTGGCCATAACCCTCGCAGGATAGCCATGCTAGAAATTCCTTCCTCGCCATAGGCTCGCTCAATGCTCTTGTTTTTGCAGAGCAGAAGCAGAGATCGACCGAAAAACAAGTAATAAAATAAAAACCTTTCCTATCACCAAACACCCCGTCCTTGAACCCATGCTATCGTATACATCATGGTCCTCATCTCTCATCCGTTCTATGCCAACAAAAGGGAAGAATCAAACAAAAAACAAAACAAACACAAACTGGTAGACTGCCAGCGATTATAAGTGTCTTCTTCGTACAAGAACTTTCTGCTTGCACGGAAAGGACAGCCTGCGACATCAAACAGCGTTGCGATGGTGAAGCGTACTTCAACGCCTGAAAGCTCCTAACGCCTTGTTGCCCATTTCCATTCCCATCATATCTATCGTGTACAGTGCGTGTATCCCGTGGGCTAAAACCGTTGAAGCAAAAGAGAAAAGCGAGGATGAAGCTAAGGAGAGAGAGAGAAAAAAAAACAATAAAACGAAACTAGTAGCCACGATCAAATGGCATCTGAGGGTGTGTTTATCGAAGATGTCCAAAGACCCGAGAGAAACTGCTCGTCTTTTCGAGGAGACCCCGTCGTATGTGACAGAAGATGGGGAAAAGCTCTAAGTCGCCCTGGAGCTGTCGTCGGCGAAGGATTTGTTTGTTGGTGCAACAGTATTGGCGTTTCAAGTGCTGGGTGCAGGTTCAGTAGCATCGCCCTCAGCCTTAGCTTCCTCGGCAGCTACTGTGTTACCTATATCTTTATCTTTGGCATCAGGTTCGGCCTTGGGTGTCGTCTCGTCGCTAGTCACTGAACCACCAAGCAGGGCCCTTGGAAGAAACCAACCTCCACGTTCCCACTGACCTGGTTCGTATAGACAAGACTTGCGAACCTCCTCATCAGAAATACCGGCAAGCAAAGTGTTGAGACGTTTGAAATCGATCGGCTTTAGGATCCAGCCATCAAAGCCGGCATCGACGTAGGTCTGCTTCTCGCGCTCAACGAGAGAAGCCGAAACCGCGAAAATCGGTATGCGATAATTTGAATTTGCCAATGACGAATGACCTTGATGCTCCGCGGATGCCTCCATTGACCTGATCATCTTCGTACTTGTGAGTCCATCTACAATTGGCATCTTATTCATGTTAGCAACGTCAATTATATGAGAAGACCTAGATAGAACGACTTACTTGCATATCCATCAAAACCACGTCAAACTCCTTTGATCGTTCGCGATAAGCTGCAGCACAGTCTTCGCCGTTGACAGTATGGTGCACGCCATGGCCGACTCGCTCCAAACGCTTTCTCAAGATCTTCATGTTGATTGGGTCGTCTTCGGCCACAAGGACCTCCAGATGTTGTGTCTCAGTCATCTGAGTTCCTCCGCTTGTGACGCTCTCTGTTGCGGCCTTTGTCACCGGGCGATCGTTTCCCTTCATCTCAAAAAGGACACGGGAATGCTCGCTGGGTTGTGGTCTTTGAGGCACGTCGCTGTACTCGTCCGGAATCTTGACAGCTCGAATCGGAGTTTTTGAGTCCACCACACCTGCGCTTCCAGGCTCGCTATGTGGTTTGCTCGCCACAGGGCTCCGGGGAGGACTCGCAGATCGGCCACTGAGGCTAACAGCGCCGCGGGACGTGGGCCGCATGGAGCTTCCTCCTGAAGTCACACTACCAGGAAGAGGATACTCACCGCCTTCCCTTTCGTTCAAAGACAGGGGGGTCGAGATCGCATCAATGAGTCGATCGGCGTCACTTTGGTGGCTGCCATGGCTACTTCTGCTTTTTTGGCTTGCTCGGCTTCCTTTCATTGATGCATCGCCTCCTTCAACAGCTGAAGTCATGGAGCTACCTCTGTCAACGAGTGTAATCTCTCCCTCTGGGGCAGCTGTCATAGAGAGTGGGGCAGATGTTGCAGTGTTGGCAGACTCTGCACTGTTTGTCGACTTGTTTGTCGGACCACTCGTAGGGACGTCTTCATTTCCATGTGAGCTTGGACACTCGTTGGGCAGGAGGAATGGAAGCTGAACCACGAATCTTGAGCCTTGGCCAACCTCCGACTTTAGGCGAAGCTGTCCATCCATGTTTCGAACAATGCGGGCAACAACAGCAAGGCCGAGTCCCAATGTTCGCATTTCGCGAGGCATCTCCTCCAGCTTCGTGCCCGACATAGGCGCTTCCTCTGAGCTGACCTGTTCAAGGTCACGGAACAAGGTGTCCAATTGGCTGGCACTCATGCCAATACCAGAATCCTCTATTACAAAATCCACCACTGCATGTCGATCTTTGACTTCTGACACAAAAACTTCCACCTTGACGTGGCCGCTGTGCGTATGGGCCACCGCGTTCGCAGTGACATTGGATAGTGCTTGGCGAATTCGTCGTTCATCGCCATGTACAAATTGCGGAAGCCCAGGATGCTGAACAACGGTGTAATGAATGCCCTTTCGTTTAGCATCATTCAGGAATGGGCCTGTCGCTTCTCTAATACAGCTGGCAAGATCAAAAACCTCATCCTTGACCAAGTTCTGTCCTTCCTCAGTCTTGGTCAAGTCTAACAAGTCGTTGATGACATAGATCAAAGACTTAGAGGCAGAATGAGATCTCGCCAGGTTCTCTCGGGTTTCTTGGTCGAGGCTACCCTCCAGGGCTATTTCCAGGTAGTTGATAATGGCATTAAGAGGTGTCCGGACCTCATGGGCAGAATTAGCAAGCAACAACCGGGTTAGCTTGCTGTTTTGAAGAGCCATTTCCTTTTGCCTCCAGACCTCAATGAATTTACCGTACACGAGACAGAGCACGGCTGCGGTCTCGACCTGTTCTTCATTCCATTCTCGGCATTTGCCGACAACAGTTTCGTTCCAGGTCTTGAAGCTCTTTCTTGGTTCCAAGTAGCCGGCAGTGCCCTCTCGAACAAACTTTTCGTAGGGATTGCCGGCCCACTTGACTTCTTTAATCTGACCCTTCCGGAAGAAGACGATGAAGTCGTTGCCACCAACGCTGAGGGGTACATAGAGTAGACCGGCTACGACTTGGAAACCAGGTGGATACCGTAGGTCGGGGAAGTCTTCTTTGACGTCCTGCGATGCAACGACAGAGGTAAGTTGTCGCATTCGTAGGTATTCCAGCATCGCGAGGGCTTCCTGGCTTTGTTCGACAAGACCCATGATTTTGGTCTCGCCCTTGATAGATAGTAGTCCAAAATCGGCATCGAACAGCTTCAAAAGATCCTCCGAAGAAGCAATAATGTATCCAGAGGGATTTTTGTCTGTAGGTGCAGTGTTGATCAGCTTGCGAGCCTGTAGCCGCGACGCATAAGATAGTCTCTCGATATTCCTGCACGCGGTGTCCCCAACAAGGCGACACATCTTCCGAATTGGAAAAGACACTCGCATGCCGTGATTCCCATATGAGTGGCAAGAAATAAGGCCCCATAGCTCGTTGAAAGCATTAATTGATATCGACATGGACGATCTCACTGCCATGTTTTTGAGATATTTGATATGGATAGGGGACATGGCTCGCAAGTAGGAATGGCTCATGTCCAGAGGAACGTCCAGGTCTTCCTTAGTCCTGCAAACTATTCTGGAGGTGTCTTGGTCCCGATCATAAAGCAATCTGACCTTGTTGAGTTTGTATAGATCGCGAGCTTGTCGTGGAATGTCTGATGCGGGAAAGTGGAGGCCTTTGTACAAGTCTCTTGTCATTGATGTGTCGACAAGTTCTGTTACAACCTTGCCGTTGAAGGAGGAGTCGAACTGGTAGATCATGACACGGTGGAAGCCAGTCAATTCTTTGACTATGCCCACGAGGATCTTCAGAAACGCTTCCAAATTAGGAGCTGAGGAGAGCTGCTCTTGAACCTGTGACATGATATCAAAGACTTGCATGGCACCTTGCTCACCCCGCCTCTTTCTCGCACTCCTCAATATTCTCAATGGTTTGCTGAGGACCTCTGTGCTGTCTTCGATTTCTTCCAGTGTCGGATTTGACTGAAGGGTGTCGTGTGGGGTATCAGGCGTCAATTCATCAACTGGTCGTAGAGGATATTCAGCATCATCGTCTAGCTCGAACTCGCAGATGATTAAATCAGGATGTGCCGGGTTTATATGAATAGCACACCAGAGTTTTGTGGTTTTGCGCTTAGGAGACCGAATCGACAAACTAAAAACTTCAGGCCCGTTAACGGCTGGATCCGCATCTTCATCACGAATGAAATCGATGTGGTCAAGAAGATTATCCTGCTGTTCCTCCGTCAAGATGTCTAAGAAGTTTTTGAGTTGAAATAGTTGCTTGGGAGTGTAGCCCAGCATTCGCTCAGAGTTTTCGCTAATGTATCGAGCGACGAAGCAGCCATCGTTCT